CCCACCTCAGCCTCCCAGAGTGCTAGGATTACAGGAGTGAGCCACCATGCCTTGCCTGCAAAATGATGATTTTCCAACTCCAGCATTCCTTCTACCATTCAGCCTTCAGCATTCCACTATAAGCAAGGGACCTCCCTTCTTCCACATGTATTTGTATATTTACAATGAATATGGGCTTATGTTTTTTTTTTTTTTTTTGAGACAGAATCTCACTGTGTTGCCCATGCTCGAGTGCCGTGGCATCAGTCTAGCTCACAGCAACCTCAAACTCCTGGGCTCAAGCGATCCTCCTGCCTCAGCCTCCCGAGTAGCTGGGACTAAGGCATGCATCACCATGCCCGGCTAATTTCCTTCTATTTTTGGTAGAGACGGGGTCTTGCTCTTGCTCAGGCTGGTCTCGAACTCCTGACCTCGAGTGATCCTCCCGCCTCGGCCTCCCAGAGTGCTAGGATTACAGGTGTGAGCCACTACGCCCGGCCAGCTTACGATTTTTTAATGATTTAGTTCCTTATTATATCCTTAATATAATTCCATATTGAAAGTACTAATAAATCCTTACAATAAGTGGTAGTAATTACTTAATTATTTTGATGCCCAAATTGTTCCAGATTGGGCCAGTGGAAGCTGCTTCATTAATCTGGCTCCTGTGTTGTGACCTGCCCCATGATTCTTTTGAATCACCTTCTATCATAATAACTTGTCTAACCCCAGAGTCAGCCATTTCCCCAACGAACCCTAGTTTTTCTTAGTGGGAAATAATAACACTAAGGGCAGAGATCTGGGTGCCAGGTGTGCTCCCTGTGACTGGGGTGTCTTTGCTTCTTGGCCATTTCAGTGGACAAAGTCAGGAAATGTATGCATGTATAGGCACACCGTGCTTCACTACATTGAGCTTCACAGATAATGCAAATTATTATTACTATTATTTTTTTACAAATTTAAAGTTGTGGTAACCCTGTGTTGAACAAGTCTATTGGCATCATTTTTCCAACAGCATGTGCTTACTTTGTGTCTCTGTGCCAGCTTTTAGCAATAGAGTATTTTTTAATTAAAGTATATACTTTTTTTAGACATAATGCTATTGCACACTTAATAGACTATAGTATAGTGTAAATACAACTTTTATATGCACTGAGAAACCAAAAAATTTGTATGACTTGCTTATTGTGGTACTTTATTGCGATGGTCTGGAACCAAACCCAAAGTACGCCTGTGTATACCATACTACATTCACCTACATATATACATAATACCTAGACACACACATTTTAGAAATTCTGAGTTCACAATGGTACTCTCAATTCCAGTCCTCCCCATAGGGTTCCTTTTTGCCTGTATTTTTAATGAGTACCCCAAGTGATTGTTCTAACCAGGGATGCTTGGGAAACACTGCTAAAGTCTACTGATAAATCTCAGTCACAAGTTTCAGTGCTTTCCAGACAAACTAATTCAAAGGGCTGTGTGTTCTCTTTGTATCTCATTTGTCCTAGCCATGGATTCCCTCTTCCTATTGAATATCTGTTTATTCAACTGCATTTTGAGGATAATTATCTTTACAGATATAAGAGCAAAACAGAAAGTGACTCCTTTCTGACTCATCAATGACCAGAGCTTTGAGTTATGCTCTTAGGGATACCACCGACCATATATGAGAGATAGTGTGTGTGTGTCTGTGTGTACATGTGCATGTATGGTAACATGCTCTCAGCCATCCTCCCCCCTCCACTGGTTTCATTTGCAATATTATTGTATACTCTGTGCTATACAACTCTAGAAGGAAATCTTAGACATGCCTAAAACTTAGTAAGTGTAATTCATTATTTTTTTATGTTCTATTGTCCTTCTTCGCAAAAAATTCTGGTTTCGCTTCCTCCATTTCTAGTTATTATCAGAACCATCTACCAGTTGCCTAAGCTAGAAATAGTAACAGTCATCTTTGTCTTTTCCCTTACTGTATCACTCATAACAAATCATTTTAAGACCTTTTAACTTGACCTCATACTTACATTTTGAATCCATTCCTTCCCTTTATTCTTATAGATACTATTTTGGGTTAGACCATTGTTAACTCTTGCTTGAATTTATGAAGATAGAAATGGGGTGTGTGATAGAACTATTTTTTCCTACTTCCCTCCTCTCAAGAAAATTAAAATATTTGGGAGGAACACTATCTGTCTCTGCTAAATCCAAGTCAATTTATTAGCTTATAAAAATGAAGATGTGTCAAAAAGTGCTCAGAAAATACTTAGCAAATTAAACTTAAAAGTTAATTTAATACATATAAAAACAAACTTGCTAACTTTGAAACACTTTACATATTTATTATAAAGATAGCTATAGGTTACTGAACTTCAAGAAATCTATGATCTTTACTTAGAAAGCATATACATTAAACCCTATTGCTTGGCTCCATTCCATACTTAGTTTTTCAAAGCTTAGTCAGTAATATTTTTAGATTAAAAAAAATTAATGAAAGAAAGCTCCCAC